GGAATAGTACCATTGTGAATGAGGGGGAGTGCAAGAGTGGGTACCCAAAACTAAGGTGACCAGACGTCCCGCTTTTTAACAATTTTTCCTGCATCCCGCAGCGTTTTTAAAAAGTCCCGATATTTGGAAAGAATCCACGGCAAGCTAGGGTATATAGTTTTCAGCTGCCATGTGGCCGTTTCACCAGGATATAAGTTTTATTAGCATTATCAATGTTAAAACCTGGTACCTTACCCAAAACTCATCTGTAGGCAACTGGACATCCCCTTACAGAAGCGTCATGGGGAGGAGACAAGCCAGTCAGGTGCAGTGTAGCAATGATGAAACATACAACTTTCCTCTAGTTTTTAAATGTTCACTCACCCCCATTATCATGATCCCATTTCTACCTTACAAATCCGGCTAGACCAGAGGATGTACACTGGTACAGAGAGGAACGGGAAACACAGGGAGTCCAGGATAGATGATCCCTTCAGGACCAGTGGTGAGAGTGGCAATACTGGGAGGGTGGAGGGAACGTGGGGTAGAAAGGGGGAACCGATTACAAAGATCTACATATAACCCCCTTCCTGGGGGATGGACAACAGAAAAGTGGGTGAAGGGACACGTCGGACAGTGTAAGATAGGACAAAATATTAATAATTATAAATTATCAAGGGTTCATGAGGGACTGGGGAGCGGAGAGGGATGGGAGAAAATGAGTTGCTGATAACAAGGGCTCAAGTGGAAAGCAAATGTTTTGAGAATGATGATGGCAACAAATGTACTAATGTGCTTGACACAATGGATGTAAATATGGATTGTGATAAGAATAGTACGAGCCCCCAATAAAATGATTTTTTAATGGAAATGAGAATATAATAGAGCACTTTATAAATGGTGAGAGAAAGTAACTATCAACCTAGGAATGCATACCCAATAAAACTGTATTTCATAGACAATTGTAGAATAAACACATTTGTAGAGAAAAAAGTAAGCATATAAAATATATAACCAATAGAGTTTATCAGAAGAATGAGTGTCTGAAGGACTGAGAAAAAGAACCCTAGACAAAAGACCTAAGGCAGTGGTTCTCAACCTGTGGGTTGTGACCCCTTAGGGGTTGACCGACCCTTTCACAGGGGTCCCGATTCATAGCAGCAGCAAAATTACAGTTATGATGTAACAACAACAAAAATTTTATGGTTAGGGGGGATCAACACAACATGAGGAACTGTATTAAAGAGTTGCGGCCTTAGGAAGGTTGAAAACCACTAATCTAATGTGAAAAGTTTAAATTGCTGCACTAATTAATCAGATATGCAACTCTAATACACTACCCAACAGTAGAGGTTTTTTAACAGAGTAAAATGAAAATGAAACATCACAACAGGTATATTTTTTACACATTGGGTAGAATAAATTTCAAGAGGAATCACTAACAAAATGTAATGTATAATTTTAAACAACAGGGTAAAGCATTTTTTAAAAATCACTATAATAAACAATAGCAAGCAACTATTAGTGCATTAAAAGAAAAATCCATGATCAAAATAGGTTTACCACAGCAAATATTGGCTTAATATTCAGAAATCTATTATCTCATATTTAACAAACTAAAAAGAAAACAGTAACGATAACCTCAGAAAGTAGTGATACAACTTAATATCCACTCATGGTCTAAAAGCCTTTGGGGAAAAAAACAAACAAACAAGAACGTCCTTCATCTGATGCAGGACACTGTGAAGAGAACCTCCAAAGAACACAACACAAACAGCACCTTCACCCTACGGTCCGCACAGAGGAACAGCAAATGACACAGAGTGGTGGGGTGAAGGATGAGAAGGGAAAGAAAAGAGCAATAAAACGGGGATTATCTACAGTTATTATAACCTAAGTAAACTGTACAACTTATACTGAGAATCCAGAAAATATTAGTCGGCTACAAGATCAAACAAACAAACAAGAGTAACAAAAGAGCATTCAAATCTAACCAAAGAATCTCAAGACGTGTATTGTGCATAATTCTACCCAACAGCATACACAGATGGGTAGACCGAACAGACTTGGGGGAGGGGAGGAAAGGCGTATACACACGTATTTGTAAGCTTGACAGGGTATTTACCTTTGCTTCATATATATCCACGAATACGGTGGCATAGAGTGTGTGTGTGGGGGGCGGGCGTTTCTTCTACATCACGGGATGTTGTGAAGTATTCAAATAGGTTGGCATACAGTCCACAGAGACTCGATTCTACCTCCTAGTTTGGTGAGGAGTATCTAAAATGCTACTCTAGGTCCCTGCCTATCCACGAGGGAGGAGGTGCTGAAGACCAACGACCCAAGGCAAACGAGAGGGGCGAGAAAGAGGAAGGCCCTCCACAAGATGGACTAACATGGTGGGGGCAGCAAGAGGCTCAGCCCGAAGAACAACTGGGAGGGTGGCACAAGACCAGGCAGTTCTGTATTCTGTTGTACCCAGGGTCGATGTGAGTCAGGACCAAATCGATAGCACTTAACAATAGCAAGAGGACTTTATTCTTAAAATTATCTCCAGCACTACTGTGGAAGAATTTTTAAAATGCTCAATTTTTCCTCAGTGTCCTACACACTTGACCACAGAGCGTCCTCTGCTTATTCCTTGCCACCCAGCTCTTCTCTGCAGTCTTTCTTTTTTAAAATGAATGTCGGATTTCTTTAATAAAAAAAAATTATAAGGCATATGAGAATGAGTCAAAAAGCATTGCTCGTAAGATTCGAGGTTACTCATGCATGAGTTTATTCCCAACAAAATGCATACAGGTGTCTCTGTGAAGTGGGAATGGCTTGAGGCAAGTCGTCTCAGTAAGACGTTGTCTCCGTCCCATTTGAGTGCCTCCTCAAAAGGTTACTTTTCGTGTCACATTTTGAAATCAGGGCCAATATCAGTTTTAGAAAACTTCCAGCAGACATCTTTGCAAAAAAGTTTCCAGGGATGCTACCTCATGTAGAGCAACAAGTTTTCAGTCGATCAAGCATTTAGGACAGAAAAGACCTCAAGGACCAGCCAAGAGCACGAAGACTATCAACCTTGCTGATGGAAGACCCGGGGCTGAAGTTCAGAAGCTGGTGGAAGGTGGCCATGGAATAAATAACCCCTGATGCGATAGCAATTGCAGGTAGGGCTTCACGGGGCTCGGCATTTTCCATTTGCAAACAGCCTCGGAAAACCTCTGGCTCAGCAAGGGCCAAAAGCATGGCATGAGATCTATTCCCTCTTTCCATCCCCAATGATACCTACCTGGCACTGAAGGACAACAGTCCTTACTCCAACAACTTAGCTCTTTCTCCAAAGTGAGCAGGCAGCTTTAACATACAGTCTTTCTAACCATCCTCCAAATCTTTAATTTGCTCTCAGTAAATAGCTGGAATCGAGTTTTTAAAAAGGTGAATTTCTAAGCATTAGCAGCTCCTCTCCACACGCCTGTATCAGAATTCATCTAGACCCCTCTCCTGGTCAGAAGCACTACTCCATTGTCTGCAATGGTTTTCAAACAATCAGAGACCTTGACAGCCCTAAGTTCTCTGGCCTCCCTTTGCCCTAGTCATGGCTTCCAAGCCAGCCCCATCTCAAAGGACTCTGAGACAGCAGCCAAATTCACTGGGGCAGGGATGCCACAGTTGGAATTGCTGGCTCTGGAGCTGGAAGTGGGGCTGTGTTTGGGAACCTCATCACTGGTGATGGCAGGAACCCTTCTCTGAAGGGGCACTACTGCTACACAAGTCTGCGTTTGCCCTCTCAGCGGCCATGGGGCTTGTGTGCCTAGCTCATCCGCTTCGCCACCTGAAGGAGCCATCCCTACCTCCCATAGTTCTCTTTGCCCCAAGACTTGTCTGCCCTCTATGTTCCTGCCCCTGTACCTCCCCTGAGGAAAGTAATTGGCTCAGGGTTTGACAGAGGGAAGACAAGCAAACACTGTATCAAATAAAATAACTATGGCTCCCCAGCACCCTCAGAGTAAAGCTAAAAGTCATGGGACGGCGAGAAGGATCTGCAGGACCTCTCTCTCCTCTCTCCACAGGGCACTCTCACAAGCTCTCTCCACTCCCGCCACACCACCCTGCAGCGGGTACACAAAGCCACCATATCCGCGTGTCTCTGGACAGCTTGGAAGTCAGATCATCTGCGCTACATCTCTGGAGTGAGAAAGAGACACCCTTCTCACACCACTTTCAACTTTGGTGTTGTTGCTACTGCCCTATAAATCTGAGGAGGGCATGCGCTGTGTCTAGTTTGACACACCCCTAGAGCTGGTACAGATTATTTTAAAGTGAGTAGATGCGCAAGCAAATCTAAGCAGAAAAGGATACTGAAAGTCCTTGGAATGGAGAAACCTGTCAGGAGAGAACTTAGAAAACGATCTAGTCGAAAAGAAGGGGAGGGTGTGGCAGAACAAGGTTTGCTATTGTATGATTCACTACACCAAGGGTATGGATAAAGGAGATGGCGCGCGTGGTTGGCAACAAGCTGTGGTTGATTAGAGAGGTAGGCCTGGGAACTGAGGAAGCAGTGAACACAGATCAGCAAGTATCTCCTTCACTACTTCTTCCCTAGGGAAGATGCCTTTCTTTTACCGTCGTTCTGAATACTCATTCTCCAGCATTAAACTTTCTTACAGACCTCAACAATTTTGACTGTTAATACTATATCCAGAACACCGAAGTATTTACAAATCATAAATGACCATTTGTAACAATTTTTTCGTGTATAATTACCAATATTAAGCTCCAACGAAATACAAATGATGCTTTTGTGCAACAATTATACCACACTATGGTCACAAGGCCAGTATTATAACCATCTATGGTTTCATTAATGCCTTAAAAATTCTTTTGAGGAAGAGGCAAGATATCAAAAATCTATTTATTATGTAACCTTTATTGACATGAAAATTACAGTTGATAAAGTGAAAATTAACCTGGTAAATATGCAGAACTAGTTATTTAATATCTGCTTTGTAGGGTTTTATTTTAAGCCATGCAAGAATGTACTTATTTCTTTAAAAACAATGGTTTAAATACGGTGATTCATCTTATACCTGCACAACCAGCCTTACTTACCATTGCCATATGGAAACGCACGCGCAGAACGACTATCATAACCAGAGGAATGTCCACTACGGAAGAAAAATTGTATTTTTATGTCTGTTGCAGCATTTCTGAATTTCAGTAGTTTTATTGCAAATAATACAAATGTCAAGGTACAACTACCATGGCTTTTAGTTAGCTACCATTAAATGATCAGCCTGAATTTTTTATTGTATTTCTTAAAGCTAACAAAACCTTCATAGTAAGGTGACCAGACATCCCGCTTTTGGTGGGACAGTCCCGATTTTTAACAACTTTTCCCGCATTCCGCGGCGTTTTTAAAAAGTTCCAATTTTTGGGAAAATGCACGACAAGCTAGGGTATATGGTTTTCAGCTGCCATGTGGCTTTTTTGCGAAGATATGAGTTTTATCAATGGTGTCCCGCTTTTGTCCTGCTTTACCAATGTTAAAATGTGGTCATCTTATACACAGGCTTTCTCGCCCCAAGCAGTATCAAGCCTAACAGGTAGGCGCAGAGAGAGGGTGGCAATGGCCCTCTTCAGGACACAGCAGCTCTGTGCTGTGACTGCGACCAGACCTCAGCCTGTCTGGCTCTTCCCTTGTCTCCTGCTTGGTTGTATGAAAGCTGGATGACAGGAAAAGGAGGGCAGGTAGTGACGTAGGTAAGAGCCACCATTATTAATAATGTCTATACTGGCAAGATCTGTTCTGGTGCTTTATATTCACTTTCTAATCTTAATACTCTACCAACCTCTTGGCAAATGAGGACACTATGTCTCAAAGAGGTTATAAATCTCACCTAGCAACAGAAAGCTAAGAAATTTTGAAGTAAAAAGTTAAACCAGGTCTCTGTGAATTCAAGATAGATCTTATTAATGCTACCATGCTACTCCTCAGAAAAATACCCTTTGGGCAATATTCTTATTAAGTCCTAAGTACAGATTATTAGAAAGAAAAAAAAGGGAGGCAGGCAGGCGAGCCATAGCCATGTAGAACGATCCTGGTCACTCTGGAATCTTTAGAGAAGCAGGGCAGCAAAGGAGGCCATTTTTCCTTATCATGGTCCCTGGTAATGGCTGTCCATACCTAATCCCCAAACATTTACATTATTAATGATTTCTACTAACTATGTTTAAATCTCCCACAAAAATGACTGGATTCAAGTGTTCAGCAATTTAAGGGTCTCTTTAACCAGGGTCACAAACCAAAATAAATCAGTTACAAGGGTTTAGCTTCCTTGATCCAGTTCTGGTATCAGGCTATACGCTCAATGTTTTTTTTTAATAAATAAGCATTTAACATAGCTCTATGATGACGAATTTAAAAGGCAGGATATATTTATATACCTATATATGTATGTTTATAAAACTGTGTCTTTGAAGATATCACCAAGCAGATGGCAGCAGTGAGAAAAATGCACAGTAGCCACACGGATTTACCTTTCTATTGTTGGTATAAGAGATGGAGGTGGAGCACCTGGTGGAGGAGGAAAACCTGAAACATTCAATCAGAAGACAAAAACCGTTAATAGCACATACACGGAATGTGAAGAGAAAGAAGCTTGCTGTGTATCACTAAATTTCTCTGGGGACATAATGAACTGATCTATTGTTACAATGAACAGGAAGGTGGAGAATGAAGCTTAAACTTAACAACAGTTTCTGGAGCTCTAAGGCATGACATGAACAGTCTGATCTACTACACAGAGTACAAACTGGGAGTCAGGACACCCGGTCTTATTTTCAGCACCACACACAGCCCATTTTAGGAATATGAGAAAGTTAATCTCAATGCCTTACCTTTTCCATATATAAAACAGTAGTAGTATTGCCACCAGATATGTTATACTTGAAAAGCAAATAAAATAGCATTTACCTCTTTTTGAAATACTTCTCAGAGTTTTAGATGTAGAGTAACTTCCTTAAAAGTATATAATTTATAAACTTTTACCAGGGAATACATAAAATTTTAAGGCTAAGCACATCCATCACAAAATGTTTTAAATAGCACAACCCCAAAGACTTTTACAAAGAAAGGCACATAGAATGGTTTTTGGGTTAGTTTAGTAAGGAAATAATTTGCACCTTTAAATCATGAAGTCAGCCTTCTCAATAATTCGCTACCTAAGTGAAACACCAGCGTAGCAGGGCTAAAAGGGATCTACTCTACACTTTGCCATTCAGAGGCAATAATAAAGTATCCTACCAAAAGGCCAATCTCTAGAATGCAGTTTCCATGACCAAGGATACTCATGCCCACCACTGTTTAACAACTCTCACTATTAGGAAATGTATTACATATAATTTAAATGAAATTCCCTCACACTATAATTCAGATGCTGTCTCAATAAGGACACGAGAAGCATTTCACTGTCATACCCTTGCTAGTCCTTTATAGATTTGGAAAC